CAAAAACTCATAATACTCAAAGTACCCAAGCGAAGTGAGAAACGAGTCAATTGAGTGTAATGTACATATTTGAACACCAATTTCATTCAATGAAAAGTATTTTAATTTAAATTCATCTTCTTTATATTCCAATTCATTTACTTTTCATTTATCAATATTTTGACCAATGTCGAAGTCCTTTACATTTATAGTAATTTTACTTTCATTTTTCTTATTTTAGTACCAAGGTTTTGCTTACATCAAAATCCTTTACTTATCTCACAAACTTGCACAAAAATTAGAAGAATTTATACCCTATATTTTAGGATTTACTAGTCGATCCTACTAGTAAACTTTAGAAAAGAAATTAGGGGTTGTTTATCAAATTTCATGGTAAACAACTATGTCCAAGAAACACAACATAACTCTTAAAAAGCGAATAATGAGGACTATCAAGTATCATATATATGACACTAAACTCGAATGGATATTTGTAATTTGCTTATGGGCTTTTTATAATTTGGCCATCATCGTGACACCTCTTGTATTTATTTCTGTTTTCCGTTTTTAGATTAAGCATTATTTGTATGAGTTTCATTTGTATAAGTAGTTTCATCGCTACTAGATAATAATATCTCTAAAAGTGCCTCACACACTAACAAATCAGTATCAAAGCTTCCACTTATTATTTTTTATCGAGTTTTCAAGAATTTCACGTCAGAGATCGTGTTTCTAGGACAAATAAATCAACCACTGCGAAGATGGCTAGTGATAAGGGCATTCTGAATTCTCTTTCAATGCTTGACGGTAAGAATTAGATCCGATGGAAAAAACAGATGTAATCCTTGTTTGGCTTCCATGAAACCCTAGAAGTGGTTACCGACGACGTTCCTGTGTTGGCTACAAATACAACTGACGAATAGAAAAAATCCCACAATGAAGTCAATAAGAAAGATTGCAAGGCTGCTTATTGCATTCAGACGACGTTCAATGCTGCTAATTTTGACAGAATCTCAAATGATGAAACGGAGAAAGAGGCATGGGATATTTTGGTGAAGTATTACGAAAGAGGTGAGAAAGTCAAGGTTGTCAAGTTACAAACCTTGCATCGACAATATGAGTTGTTTTCGATGGAAGAAGATGAAAAAGTTGCAGAATATGTATCGAAGGTTCAGAAAATCGTTCATCTCATGAAGGGTTATGGTGAAACCATTGCCGATAAAATGATAGTTGAGAAGGTGATGAGAATGTTGACCTCTCACTTTAATCACATAATCGTAGATATTCAATAATCCAACAATCTTGAAACCACTAAAGTGGAAGATTTGGTTGATTCCTTGGAAGCGGATGAGATGAGGATTGTCGAAAGGAAAGGAGTGCAAGACTCGATACAGGCTCTGCAAGCTCAGTCATGGAAAAAGGATGGTGGTTCCAAAAAATTCAAAGGCAAGTTCGACAAGACTCGGGGTAATAAGTCTTGGTCGTAATATCACAAACATCAGGTCAAAGATGGAGCTTCTGAATCCTCGAAAGGAGGAGGAGGAAACTATCGAAAAGGCAAAGAAGATAAAAAAGGTGTGCAGTTCTATAACTGTGAAAATTGGGGTCACGTAGCCAAGAATTGTTGGTACATAAAATACAAGGGATCGACAAGCAAGGACAAAGGAGCGAACTTTGCACGTTAAGATTCAGATGATTCTGAAAGTGGTATGGTAGTTATGGCTGCAGTTGCAGATAACCGTGTCGAATCAAAAATCTGGTTTCTCGACTCAGGCTGCTCGAACCACGTGAATGGTTGAAAGGAGTGGTTGGCATATTTTGACGAGTCGAAGAAGTGCAAGTTAAAACTTGCTTATAATAGTTCGTTACAACCAGAAGGTACTGGAAATATAGTATTTCAAATGAGTAATGGAGGGAAAGCTATGATCAAAGATGTGCTTTATGTACCTGGAATAAAGTGCAACTTGCTAAGTGTTGGACAACTAGTCGAAAAAGATTTCTCACTTGTCATGAAAGATGGAGTTTTGAAATTGTTCGACACCAAGAATAATTTGGTCTTAAAATCTCCGTTGTCGAAGAACATGACATTTAAGACTATGATCAGTTCGATTGAATTTCAATGTTTGAAAACTGTTACTGACCATAATGTTGATGAAGAAACTGATGAAGTAGAGGTCGAAGGAATTATTGATAATCCAGCCGAAGTCGAAGAAGGAGAAGTTGCTGACATTCACGATACAGTCGAAGTCGAAGAGGTTGTGGCTGAAACAAGTCAAAGACCTCAAAGAAATAGAGTTCTTCCAACAAGACTTCATGATTATGAAGTGGTGGATGATGATGAAGTCACACCAGGTGGAGAATTAGTTCATAGTGAAGCTTTAAAAACTAAACAGTGGAAGTTAGCTATGGTCGAAGAGTTACGTGCAATCGAAAGAAACAACACATGGGAGTTAGTCGAATTGCTAGGACATACAAAAGCTATCGAAGTAAAGTGGGTATTCAAGTTGAAACATAATGTTGATGGCTCGATAGCAAGACATAAAGCAAGATTAGTAGCCCGAGAGTTTCTTCAAAGAGAAGGACTCGACTACTCTGATGTATTTTCTCCAGTAGCAAGATTGGAGACTGTTCGACTAGTGGTAGTATTGGTATGCAACCAAGGCTGGTCGACATTTCATTTAGATGTGAAATTAGTATTTCTGAATTGTCCTTTAGACGAAGAGGTCTATGTAGCACAACCTCCAGGGTTTGTGATTCAGAAGGAAGCCAGTAAAGTATATAAGTTGCACAAAGCGCTTTATGGCCTCAAGCAGGCACCTAGGGCGTGTAACAAGAAGATCGACTCATACTTAGTCGAATTGGGATTTGCCATATGCAAATCTGAGTATGGTGCCTATGTTCAGGTTGTAGCACAAGATATAACAATCATCTGCTTATATGTTGATGACTTGCTAATGATTGAAAATAGCTTGGAGAACTTGTCGAAGTTCAAAGAGCTGATGATGAAGGAATTTGAAATGTCTGATCTGAGAAAATTGTCTAATATCTTAGGTATCGAATTTCAAATGTCGAAGCAATGTATGATGCTACATCAAAGGAAGTATGTCAAAGAAATACTCAAGAGATTCAGAATGGATGATTCAAATCCTGCATCCTCACCTGTCGAACCAAATGTAAAATTGGAGAAGAATGGAGAGGAAGACAAAGTCGATGTAACTTTGTTCAAGCAAATTGTGGGATCTCTGAGGTATGTGTGTAACAGTCGACCTGATATAGATTTTGCTATAGGATTAGTAAGCAAATATATGAGTGAACCAAGAGTGTCACATATGAAGGCTGCAAGAAGAATCCTGAGATATTTGAAGGGTTCGATAAACTGTGGAATACTATTTCAACGAGATTCTAAAGACTTAGAAGCAATAGTTAATTGTTTTTTAGATGCTGATTGGTGTGGAGATAAGGAAGATCGAAGAAGCACAACTGGATATTTCTTTCAAGTATTTGGTGCCCCAATATCACGGTGTTCGAAGAAATAACCTATGGTGGCATTATCATCTTGTGAAGCTGAATATATAGAAAGATCATATGTTACATGTCAAGCAATTTGGATCAGGTTTGTACTTGAAGAAATAAAGGTCGAAGTGAGAAACCTCTTGTAATGCAAATCGACAACAAGTCACCCATAAACCTGGCGAAGAATCCAGTTCTGCATGGAAGAAGTAAATATATTGAAGCAAGGTTTCACTTCTTGTGGGAAAAGGTAAATTGAGGTGAAGTTGAAGTAAGGTATTGCTCAAGTGAAACACAGTTGACCGACATTTTTACCAAAGGATTGAAGATTGACAAATTCCTGAATTTGAGAAAGAAATTAGGAATAGTTCAGATTGACTATTTTTGAGGATGTTCGACAACTTGGATTATAGGGGTGTGTTGAAATATTAAATTAGATTTGTTAAAATATTAGATTATATTTTATTTAATTAAATTTAATATTTAAATATAATATAAGTTGTGTAGACTCAAACTCAATTAGGAGTGTATATAAATAATCTTAGTCTGTATCATTATTTATACAATTCAATAATATAAATTCTTATTTTCTTTATTATTCCCTCATCACTAAAAATATCTACGCACTATCATAAACACCGTCCATTCAAATCAAACAATATCTAAAATCTATAGAAAAACATAACAAATGATATCACATATCAAATTGTTTAATTTTATTTTCATTAACTTCGATAATAAGAGTACTTATACAAAAAACTTGTAACAAACAAAATTGACAAACAAAAAAAATCTCATCTCTATAGTTGTTTTGTTTTTGGGCTTTTGGCCCTTCTTTAATAAAGCTTTGTCAAACGAAAAAGATCTTTGTTTTAGATTTGTAACAAAGCTAGCTGAATTAAAACAATATGAATTCATTCGATAATTATCAATATTATATGACAATTCTAAATATTAACTATTAAAGAATCATTTGAGATTACCTTATTAAATACATAGATGTGAATAAAATAAATCTGTCCGAGAGAAGACACATATTTAATAGCTACATTGCTACACTACACATCATACTGTGGTGGACATTTTTTTAATTTGATTAAATATAAGAACAAATTTAATAAGTGATTTTAATGTCAATTAATATTTACAAAGTAACAATTGATATTTCCAAAATTTGAGACATGATATAATATATACTATATGTTTGCATTTGCATCACTGCGTGGATTATCCAAAATTCTGAAGTGTAATAAACAATTACTTCAGAGAAATAAAAGATGATTTGATTTGACTAGGAATATTCTTGCTCACGAGTGTAACGCCTTTACTCTCTCTCATCTCTTTTGAATACTTCCTTATTCAAACTATGACGTGTTTAATTTTAACAAAGCCAAGTCAAATGTATTTTATAGGATCAAAACCGTTCTCCTTATGATAAGGTTTCTTTTTTCTATATATAGCAAATTTGTAAATATTCAAGGTATCCTTAATTGAGTGTTATACTGAGAACGATGGTTTCTTTAGAAGCTTTGGCCATGGCAGGTGTAAATTACGAGGAATATGGCATGAGTATTGAAGAATTGGAACGTAGAGATTTGGATTTATATCCACCACCGCATTTACTAGCTGAAGAAGAAGATGATGAAAGTAGCATCAATGGAGTTAGAAGGTACACTTCCACCAGACAAAGTAGCATCAATGAAGAAGAAGAGTTTTGTGTCACATTCACCAATCATGAAGAAAAAAGGAAGATAAAAGGAAGAAAGCTGGGAAAATGCTCCAGATCGATAAAATTAATGGCGAGATCATTTGGAATGTTAATATCATTATCTTGTCTTATAAGAACAAGAGATTAGGGTTTTTTTTTATATTTTTTATAATATAGGGTCTAAATTAATGTAATTTGACATTTATCAACTGTAACAAATTTGTTTTTTTTTAAAGAATCATAATCATTCGATCCAAATATATCAATCACATTATTTTGGAGTTTAAAGAAAAGGATTTTAAAACTAATAAGAATTTTCTCCTTAATATGATTGAATTATTATATTTGAAAATATTTAATTTATTATATTTTTAGTTATATATAGTAGATTCCGTTAAAAAAAGTTATAAATAGTAGATGTTAATTTTTTTTTTGTCTCTGGCTTTTATTAAACTTATTTCATTAAATATATTATTTATGTCTTATCTCATTTAATATGTATTGTTGTAATGTCACACTAATGAAAAACATAATATAAAGATTTTGATTTACCTCTCTAACTTTTTATCTTTTTTGCTTATAGTTCCTGTTCATATCACATTGCTAACAAGAAATTCTATCACATAAATATGACTAATTTTACGGTTAAGATGTATATTCTTCTCTATAATTATGTTTATTTTTATTAGTATGTTTTATGTTTTATCTCATTATTTTTTTCATGTCAATATTTTACTTCATGCATACATTTTGTTGAGCAATTTCTTTTGTTTATATAATTATAATATCTTTCTTATTTAGTTTTATCAAATTTTAGAAGAGTTTAACAATTAGGCATTTCAGAAGTATCGTATAAAAAAATTATTTTTATTTTGAAGATGTGTTATTTAATTCTTAAATAAAATTTAAGACATTTTGAGAAGAATTGCTTAAAGAATTCTTTTTTTTAATCATTTGAGATATCGTTTACGATGTTGGTAATCCATCAACGATCTATGATGAATTTCTATTAATCTTGATGAACAAGATTGATATCACTACACAATGACAATGAATTACGAGGAAAAAAAAGAAAAAAAAGAAGACAATTATTTTCTGCAGAGTTTCTTTTTGTCCACAATTAGTGAAAAACTTTCTTATTCACTTTGCAACTGTAAAATATTGTGAATGACCTGATTGTCTTGATTACAAAAATAAGGGTTACTCCCCCTATTTATAAATTTAGGTTGCTCCCTAAGCCAAAACTATAAAAGCCAAAAATACATTGTACCCCAAACTATTAAGGCATTTCTCACAAAGATTTTTAAAAGCTGAAGTTTGCACAAGTACAAAGCAGACAAAAAGGGTGCGTAGATGCAGATAACTACGTTGAATTCAAAATATGATTCAGGCAATATGACTGATCGAAAAGAGCGGTGGGCATATTTTGACAAATCGAAGAAGAGCAAGCTTGCTTCAATTTACAAGCTTCGATTGGACAATATTTTCCTTCGAAGCAACCTGCTTTGATCCACAAAGTAGTGACCTCCTACATGCTTGCTTCGATTCACAAAGCAGTGGCCTCCTACATGCTTGTTTCGATTAACAAAGTAGTGGCCACCTACATGCTTGCTTTTGATTCACAAAGTAGTGACCTCCTACATGTTTGCTTTGATTCACAAAGCAGTGGCCTCCTGCATGTTTGCTTCGATTCACAAAGCAGTGGCCTCCTGCATGTTTTCTTCGATTCACAAAGCAGTGGCCTCCTACATACTTGCTTTGATTCACGAAACAGTGGCCTCCTACATGCTTGCTTCGATTCACAAAGCAGGGGCCTCCTACATGCTTGATTCGATTCACAAAGCAGTGGCCTCCTACATGCTTTCTTTGATTCATAAATCAGTGGCCTCCTGCATGCTTGCTTCGATTCACAATGCAAGGGCTTCCCTCATGCAAGTAAGCATAAGGCAATGGCTTCCCTCATGCTTCGATTCCACCTTTAAACCCTTCAACACACATAGTTTCTACACTATGACACACAACTGGCTCATTCGAAGAACATGCAAAAGGCCCATTCAAAGAACATGAAGTTGGTGGATTCGAAAGACACATATTTGGTGGCTCATCCAACGAACATGGAGTTGGTGGATTTGAAAGAACATGAAGTTGGTGGATTCAAAAGAACACGTGGTTTGTGGCCCATCAAAAGAACATGAATTTGTTGGATTCGAAGAACGCATATTTGGTCCATTCGAAAAACACACAATTTATGTTTTGTCTCTTGATGAGTCTGGTCGAAGGCTGCTGGACAAAGTCCCATGTGCTTCCAAGTCCAAGTTTGTTGCCTTGTTGTGAAACAGTCCTGCACCAAGCTACCACAACACTCCAAAACTGCTGCAAAGCAGTCCTGCTATGCTGCTCCCATATTTACACCAAATTGGCATACAAGAGCTGCACCTTGAAGGCTACGAAGACAGCATACCCAATTTATTCAAATTTATTTTGTTCCCTCCCCCCCCCCCCCCCCCCCCCGCCCAAATCTCAGCCAAACTCTTCTATAAATAAGATGTTTCACAACACATCTAAGGGTGGCTTTTTAGTGGTTGGAGAGAGATTTGTTGGTAAGGCAAAGAAAGGAGAGAACACTTAACACTCTCAAACCCATAATCAAAAACCCAAACCTTTGTTTTTGTTCTTTCGAATCCAGAACCAAAGAAATACAACACTTGTTTATTTTCCTTCGAATCCAGAACCAAAGAAACACAACTCTACTTTTCTTTGCTTTCAAATCCAGAATCAAAGAAACACAATAGCCTTGTTCTCTGCTTTCGAATTCAAGGATATCCAGGGCAATCACTCAAAGTCCAAAAGCACCAACTCCAGATTAAAGGTAAGTCTTCCTGACTTTAACCCTTTCGTTTCAAGCATGTAAATAACCTTTTGCTTATTTTTCATTTCTACCCTTTTGTTTGTTTGCTTTTCTTGTCTAAATATATGTTAGAGACTAACCTGTATAGACCATGAAACAATATTAGCATGGCTTTGACCCATACTGCTATTGTAACACCCGATTTATACCCGGCGGATAATAAGAAAATCAGAGTTCGACATAAATAGGATGCTACATTTTCAAATTAAAATCAAACTTTATTTAATCGCATATAAAACAGATACATAACACTTAATTTGGATGAACCGTTAACAACCTGATTTATTCTTTAATATCAAACAACTTTTTATTGATAAGCAGCGAAATCTACATACTCAACTTCAATTCACTTAACATCTTTTATTCAACTAAAAACACTTCAAGAGAACAATTATTTCACGTAACCAACTTAAAAGTTCAGCAAATGAAATAAATATCAATAACTAAACATCAAGCGTTCATTCCTCCGAGTGTTACGTATCAGAGCGACGACACCGACTCGAACTAACGAGGTAACAACTATCCTTCTTGATTACCTGCACGTTACCAACAGAGGGAAACATTCAAACAGAAGGGGTGAGATATCAGACAATATAATAAGTCGTATGATAACTAATATATTAAATCAGATCATATAAAATCAACACTTCACAACTTACAAACAACTTTAATCACGACAATACATCAACACGACATAACTACTAAATTCACAGATTTTAGATAATACTTGTCACAACAAGTCAACAACATAAAGCAACAACAAATCTATCTTCACCACAACTCAAGATGCAATATCAAATGTGACTCAATTACAATGCACATGCATGTGGTACCATTGGAGTAGAACTCCCATCTTAAAAATCTGCCAATTAGTAGAGGCATCAACAAGGCAAAAGCCTTCTTCGCAGTTTGCCAATCCAGGCCATCACAGAGTATGCAAATGTATGTGACTCAATAAATGCACTATCACATACTCATAACAATCCCCATTCATCGCTAGGCATAAGCCCACATCACCATTATTATCAGTAAATAGAGGTAATTCATGATCATTTAAAGTTCCCTGCCACTTCACATTACCAACAAGAATCCACAACGAAAATCACAACAACACAACAACTCAACATAAATCAACATTGGTTATAAGCCTACCACATCAATCAACGATTCGATATCAACTCAACATAATTCAAGTTTGGCCATGGGCCGACAACTTGATATTTCAACAGAAACAATTAACACAACGTTGGCATAAGCCTACAACTTAATATGTCACAACAATAATATCCTATTAGCAATAGTAATTTGGTAACAACATCAACAAGAAAACAACATTGACCATAAGCCTAGCAATTCAGTACCACCTGAAATTCATATTTTTCAGCAAAGTATACAATACACCGTATCAACCAAAATATACTACAAACGTTCCGCAAATTTGTTCAGACAATTCGACTGTTTTCCGATTAATTAATATTTCACTAAATTACCAACATTTTCTTCTCTGCGCTACTCGTATTTAGTCTATACAGTTACTGCTAGTATAGGCAATACTTGTTACTAATATCTCACTGCCAAACTAGTACCATTACTCTCTATTATTAAGAATACTACTTTCTACCAACATACACTACCTGTTATCCACTTAATAAACTATTATTAATTACCACATTGATCTTCTGCCAATTTATTCTACTAATTACATCTACCGATGATTCTCTGCTAAATTATTGCATCTGTTAGTAATATACTACTCTACTAGATTAATTAATCAGCTTCCTATGTTTCATTATTGGTTTCCTCATATAAACATATATATCAGATGCTTACAGGAAGAAAAACAACAAACAGTATAACCAAAAGTTAAGTCTGTTACATGAAACATAGTGTGCCACTCGGCACACCCCTTATAATTAAGTGCGCCTATCATTAAAACATGAACTAGCCCTATAGCCACTAATATACTTAAATTAATTAAGTTTCTGAAGATGAAAATATATATACATGTAGTTCCTAATGACACCTTTCCTATTTTCCCATGCCTATCGGCATATGTTCATGTGCCTAGCGGCACCCTTGCCATACTTCATGTGCCGATCGGCACCTTAAGTCTCCCCCCTCGGCATACACCATTTACAGTGACCCAACCTGCTACTCTACAAATTTCCTTCGAGGCTTATCTCAGATCAATCCAATAGTTTAATTGCAGCAATATAACACCATACCACATCAATCCAGAA